TCTCTGGCTTGTGCCTGGAAAGTAAAGATACAGCTGCCAGCAAGCGAGCTGCTTGCCTAGCCCCTTATACCATCAGAGGAGGAAATTCACCTCCAATTCCAGTTTGACTGAGGACTGATGTGTCACACTCTGCACATGCCTTTGCCTCTCCATTAACTTGAAAAAGAGCCATAGGTGGTTATTTCGGATGATTGTTTCTGATACCTGAAGTTCCATGAGATGAAACTCACCAAAACCGCCGAAGACTAGAAAATAGAGGGAGAAGTCCCAAGGACCAGTGTGGTGTCTTCATCATAGAACCAGCCCAGCTCTATCAGTCATGTTTTGCTGGGGACTTGGTGTGTGTTTACCATGGTAGTGTTGCTGGAATTGTGTGCATATTTTCAAATTTCATATTTTCGAATTATAAACTTCTGGCTTTCAAGAGAAAGCTATACCAATCATTTGTTTATTTTGTAACTAAATGCCTAACATTTAGAGTCCTGCACTTGTCTTAGTCACCAAAGAAATAGTGACCTGGTTCCAGGGCTGCCAAAGTCTGATGGATTTTTGTTATGACTCATAAATTCTAGCTTCACCATTGCATGTTTCCAGTAAATTTGCAAAGGTCTTTGTTCTTCAGTTACCAGATTGGACCAGGCTGGGTGAAATAAAGAGAATGGAGGGCCAGACTGTACTGAGGTGTGTGCATTGGAGGTATTTCTAGGAGATGATCTAGGTTGTGTGAGGTGCCATAAGCAGAAGGGTAATGGAGAGCCTATTCCCCAACCGTCCCAGTCTCAGGGTATGAAAATATGCTTCAGGAAGAGCATTAAATGGGCTGTGTACCACGGGGTAGTCACCACAGTGAAGAAAGGCTGCTTCTCTTGGATCCAGTCGTGATGGACTAAAGCCGTAAAACGTATCTGAAGGTCTAATAGTGTTCCTGTACCACTAACTTTTCTGATTGTAAAGTCCTTCTGGAAGAGTAAGTTTCAGCACAGCACTCGTGCTTGCAGGCGTGTGCCGGCTGCTTCTGAGGATCCTCATCAGGCCACTAAGCTTGTATCTAGTAAGGGTTTTCTGGTGATAAAACATCCCCTCTTGAGGTGAGGCTTCGGTTGCTCCCATTCACTGGTTCATCCTGGCTGGAGCACAAATGTGGTTTTGGATGGCCTGTCCAGGAGGTGCTCTGCAAGCACACAACTGGCACACTTCACCTACGGAGCAGCCACAGGACCAGGCTGCGGCTAGCCAGAAATAACACCCTTCACATGCACGTGGTCTGCATGTTGGGTCCTGTGTACCCACTGCTTCACTCCACAGCTCGCCTGTGCTGTGCTGCGCTGCTCTCTGATGCACACTGCCCAAGGGAACTGGAATGTGAAATCACTAGGTAGCAGTCTCCCCCTCCCTGGGAAAAGCTTAGGGAAAGCTGAAAGCTCTGGGTTGGTTCTAGAACATTTTCCATGAGCAAGTGGTGTATTGTTTTCAGACTAGTACTCATCTTAGAAAACTGCATAATTCACTGCTTGAACATATGTCTGCATTGCTGGCTGCCTGCCCTTCCCAGGTGTGCTGCTGCATGTGGGAAGACTGAACTGGCCCCATGGTGTGAATCACGTTCTGAGCTGAAGCACTTCAGCATTTAACAGCTGTGTATCTGGGTATTGGCTTCTTCTTGGATGTGTGTAGGCTTCTGTGTTGAGTGTACGTGTATACACGTGGATTTATGGATTTGTTTATGCACTGCACAGATCGTTGTGTTGAATATAGGTGAGGTAAGGAATAGAGCCTCCTTCCTGGGAGTGGCTCGCAGGCACGAGTTTCAAGTGCAGTTATTAATTTTGAGGAATTAGAGCCTGAAAAGAAGTCAGTGTGGCACAGCTCCGCGATGTTCCTATTTTTAATTGGATTTTGAAGCTCATAATTAATTTGTTAAAAAGGGGAGATCCTGGCCCTGTAGGAGTGAGTGGGAGTTCTGCCATTGCCTTCAGCAGAGGAGGATTTCACCATCTATCCTTTTATTCTCATTAATCCTCTGCAACAACAGAAGAGCACTCTGACACATGGAAAAGATCCTTCCCATTTCTTCTCCCTACCGTTGCCAGTAGTGAGATAGGAGGGCCCTCCTCCTCTCCTCCATTCCCGTGCTTCCTACATATGTGCATCTCAGCAAGATACGCTTTCATTCTGTCTTCGGGTAAGGTGAAAGCAGCTATTAAAGAAGCAGTTTGTTCCTGGTCTTAACGTGCAGAGATATGGAGGTCTCCTGCCTCTCACATTTTTGAGTAGCTGCAGGAAGGCAGGAAATCTAACCTCTTTGAGGTCTCTGGGTCAAGGAGCTGTCTGACATGGCTTTAAAGGTCACTGTGCTCCTTTGCATTTATCTTGTGCTCAAACAGCGCACTGTGTGCCAGCATGCTGCCTGCAGCTCAGAGAGGCACTGTCTGACATTTTGTGGAATGGTGCTTGGGTTACAGAGGAAAAGCATCTGAAAACAAAACTCAGCTCAGGGCTGTGCAAGGCCAGACCAGGAACACTTGAGGGAGGAGCCCCTGCAGCAAATAACAAAGATACGTGGCATCCCATGGGTTTACCAGTAATCATGCTTGGCATCTCTGTTTCTTGTAACCTGTATATAACACTGTACGTTTTCAAAGCTCTTGGCAAATGTTAACAAGCCAAACTCCACTTCAGTCCTGATAGCCTAATAGTTTCATAGAAAGCCAAGGATGTTTTCCCTTCACCCTTCTGCTCTGTAGGTGGCTGTATCCTTCAGCCAGGCTGTACCCACCAGATTAAGCTGAGCAGTCCTCTTCTGCATCTGCTTTGCCGCAAAGGCAGTTTGCCTTCTGTCTCCACTCGGAGGTAGGCACTAGAGAGCGTCAGAGAACTGAGGAAGCTGAATTGAGGCTTGTTTACTGGCAGCTTTTAAGAATAATGCATGAACTGCTCAGACAAAACCGGAGTGCTGTCATAGACATGGCCCGGACGGGGGAAATCCCTTTGCTCTGCAGAGGAGAGAGCAGATGCAGCATGCCAGATAGGATGTCAGGTACTGGAGGGGAGAGCGCTGCAACTTCAGCTCCAATGTCTGGGGCAAGCACTGGTGACAGTGTTTGAATTACAGTTGAGTAAGCCCAGAAACAAGACACCAGCACTTGGAGCACTGACAAGTTGTTTCTTACCCCCTTCCCCTATTTTTCCTGAAGAAATCCTATTAAATGAAAAAGAAGAACAAAAGGCAAGTGTGCAGAGATGACAGGGCAGGCACAATCTAAGTGTGTGGGGGGGGTGTTATTGCTGGCACAGTCCATTGTCCTGTTGGGCATTTTCCCATGGAGGACTGTGGCACACAAGAGACATATATCCTGTCCTTTCTGCATTCAGGGACTGAGGGACAAATGGGTATTTCGGTGAAGTCTTGCCAGCTACTGCCCCCTCTTCATTGCTTCACCCCAGTGAATCCTTTAATTGAGCTACTGAGCCAGAGAAACTTCTCAGAGGGCAGTAAAATGGCTCAGCACCAGTTAACGCCTCAGTCCACTCTGCTGTTCTCTCTGGGGTGCGTGACCACTGTGCAGCAGAGCTGCTTTGCAATAAGAAGTCTGCAGGAACTCACCAGAGAACAGCTGTTTAAAAATGTATTTTCATGCCATTCTCTTGCCCCTTTCACTTTTCTTGGTCTTTTGGCCTCTCCAATTTGTCACCTTGAAATACATAAATTTCCCATAATCAGATCTCACTCCTTTACTTGCTGAATGTAGAAATCTGTGTCTCTGCACTGAGAAATTTGTGTGCTGGAGCCAAGTGATTATTTCCTGTGACTGGCATAGAGAGGTCATACAGACCGTGACTTCAGTTTGGCCAGTGGTGGGTTTTTTAAGATCACCTCCTTAGCAATTTTAAGAACAAATAAATAAGTAATAAGCTCTTCTCTGTTCATAATTCCTAGCTCAGAAGCTTGGTGTGAAAGCGATGTCTTGTCTGCATTTTATCTCAGCTCGCTCCTCTTCTGTTGTACCCATACGGTGCTGACTGCGTGGGGAATAGTGACATGGAGTTTACAGAGGAGGAGATGCACAGGAGCATTTGTTCTGGGGGGAGATGGTAAATTTACATGCACATGAATACACGTGCACCGAATAAGAAAAGGGGGCATGAAACCTTGGAATTCAGAAGGTAGAAATTAGACGGTGCTAATGACTCCATGGATGTTACACCATGGCAGACTTTGACCCACAGAGACTGGTTATCATTAGAATATATGTGGATATGAACACAGACCAGAATCTCTCCTGTCTTACCGCCGCTCTGTTTCACTGCCTTCGGTGGTATGGTTAATATTTTGGGACAGAAAAAGGTGTCGTGCACAAAGCCTGAAGGACCAGCTGATTTAAAGAAGAAAACATTTCTCCCCTCACACTCACTGTCCTGACACGTAATTTATTGAACCAAGGAACATTTTTTGTTGTCAGAAGCAACTAAACAAGGTGCAGTCTAAGGGGGCAGTGGGCATGAAAGCTTGAGGGCAACAGATGTTAGCCTGGCCATGCAAAGGGTGAATGGCAGCTGGGATAAAGTATGTGATGTGCTTGTGGTGGTCACTGGAGCAGTGCACACCTGCACTGTGTTCAGGTGTCAGTACAGCCACTCGCAGGTACCACAGTAATTCATTGGCAAAGGTAAACTGAGCTGAAATGCTGGCTGAAAATCAGGCTCAAGCCACACAGCAGCACAGGCATTTGGGGACGTTCTTTTTTGAAGAGTAAATGACTGGTTTTGTTAGGGGAATTAAGATTGCACAATAATTTTAGCAGTAGTAGAATTTGGGCTGGATCCATCCTCAGTATAATGCATCACAAGTACTAAGTTGTTTCCATCCCACATCTGCCACGAATTGTGCGACAGGCTTAGCTGCCTGAGCGGGACAGAGAAGGTGGGAGGACACAGGGCTTGCAAGTTGAGTGCTCAGTAATCCTGCTGCCATGCTGACTGTTCTCTCCTCCCATCCGCAGGTGAGAAGCCTTACAAGTGCTCGTGGGAAGGGTGCGAGTGGCGTTTTGCACGGAGCGACGAGCTCACGAGGCATTACAGAAAGCACACGGGTGCAAAGCCCTTTAAATGCAACCATTGTGACAGGTAATGCAGCCTCCTAACATTCCTGATGTTCGAGCAACGTGTGGGCTTTGTGAATGGCACAGAGCCACCAGCTCCCTGAGACAAGAGACCTGGCTCCCAGCAGAGGGGCCCCTTCTGGCCTCCTGTCCCACTGCCTTGATCCCCAGGTGAAGGAGGGACCCTCCACTCTGCCGCTGCCCTCTTGGCCTAAGTGGCCAGGCCAGCTGCCAGAGGGAAATACTTCCTAGGCAGCCTAAGCTGTTTCCCTACCACAGCACAAAGATGTGGGACCAGGTGTAGGTCTGACTGAAAACTGCTGGTTTCTCTTAAAGCAGAGAAGACTTCCAGAGGGCCCCAGACCACTTCAGCGATGGACCTCTAAACAAACCATCTCCACAGTTTGCCATTTCCTGGTCCTATGGGTCTGGTGCCCTCACAAAGGCAGAGCTCCTTCTATTTGCTTCAAGGACTACCCCAAGCACCATTACTGGTTGCCTGCATTTTGTCAGAGTGGGCCTGACAAACACGTTGGTGTACAACAGGGGAGATGGGAAGTGTGTGTGGCTGTTGTGCCACAAGTACCCAAATCTTGGAAAAAAGCACTTAATTTCTGTATGTTTGTTGTCTTCTCTACCACTGAGCACAGGGCTCCATGCTTCCCCATGTTCAGCAGGAGAGGGTCAGTAGAAGACCAGAAAGGGCATCGTTTTCAAAAGCACAGGAGTGATTTAGGTGCATCTTACAACTCAATTTCATGGGGTTGTTTTGTGTAGAATCGATGATCTCTGCATATTCCCACTCATTAGTGAATCTTTCCTTACAGTTTTAAATCTCACCCTTTCTTGATATCTGTTTGATGTGGGAAATATTCAGATATTCTGCACCTTCATTCTGTGTGGGCCCAGATTTAAAGGCCTGACACAGGTACCCAGAGACAAGGTTTCTCAAGAGCCTGTCATGCAGCAGTTCCCCTCTGGGCACTTAAAAACAAGGGCCCAGTTTTGCCTGGTGAGCTGAGCACCCAGCAGCTCCCAGTGGGAGTCATGGCTGCTGCCCCTCTCTGCAGGTTCCTTTTCACAGTCCTCACTGCTTCAGCTGCTTGAGTGAATGAAGAGCTCATTGAAAAACACGGTCATCCTTGCTCGGTGCTGAGTGGTTTTGAAAGATGTGTTCTTTGAATTTAGAAACAAAACCAAAAGAAAAACCCTCCTTCCTATCCCCAATCCAAATTGATAAGAAATTAGGGTGGAGCAAAAGCAATTACCCCTGTAATGACTCTTGACAGCACTGACAGGATCGAACAATGAGCATTTCTCCCCCTCGCCCCCCCCTCCCCCCCCCCCCAGCTGGAGATTGGCAGTGCCCTGGGTGAAACCTGGATCCACTATTGAGTAATCAAATAATGTGCTTGCATCCGAACATGTTATCCAGCTAATCCTATTTATATATATTTTTTAAAGAGGCTTAAGAAAATTACCCATCTTTTTAATGCAGGACTAAGGTTCTCTGTGCTGATAAGGAAACATTTTGTAATACAATAAAGGCTCTAGGAAGCCTCTGGGTACACCAGACCAGCAGAGAACATGCGTGGAGAGAGGATGTGTGAGACATAAACAAGGGACCCCATCCTTTTATGGGAAGGAAATTCGATCATTTTCACATCCTGCCTTTCCAGGAGCTTCATCTCCTTAAGTGCTCTTCTGCCCTTGTCTCCCCTCTTCCCATCCCCCTTCCCCCACAGAGGGCTTCCTCTTGGATTATTTTTTGTTTTATCCCTGGATTATCTTTTGTTTGCTCAGAATGAGCGACAGAATAAGCCAAGTAGGGACCTCTGGAGTTCTGCTTTTGTATAAGCACCTCTCTGTGCAGGAGTATAGTTACGTTCTCTGTTTCAAATGTAAGGCATTGCCTTTTTCTTTTCTTTCCTCTGAAGCACAAACCAACCATCCTAACAAACACGCACACACATACACACATGCACACAAAACCAGGGGTTTCTGTGTCAGGGCAGACAATATTTTTAGCAGAAATCTAAAGAAATGCATTCAGTGATTACAACTACTCAGTCTCTTTCAAGCCTTTGTTAAGCATCCATACTCCTTCCTTTACACATTATCCCTGCGTATGTAGGATTTTTCTCTGGCAGCCAACTCAGTCACTGCAGTCAAGAGATACGTTCTTGCAGTCATCTAATGCGTTTTCTGCTCTTCAGCTGAATCTGTAGATGCTGGAAAATATTTATTAGTATGTTAAGAGTGCTGGGGATTGTGCCCTGTTCAACTCCGTGCACATACCATCTGTGTGTGGTGGCAGGAGACAGATTTGTCTTTACTCTCCCAGTCAGTTGGTTCAGGCATGTGATAGTGCCTGTTCTTCTTTGGGCCTGTTCTGCCATACCACTATTTTCCCTTCTTTCCTCTTTCACAGATCTCTCTCCTACCTCCTGTGGCTGATTCTACCTCCAGCAAGCACTGAAACATGTACCTAAGCCTGTCGTTAGTTATTTAGGCAGACTTTGACTATTAAAGATGCTCCTTTTTGAGCTGGGATTCCCAGCTGGAGAGCAGTTTCTCCATGTTTGAACTGCCACCTTTTATTGCACACACTATTTTTGACAGGAGTAGTCACTCTCTCAGACATCCAACTTGCTAAACTTTAGGAAGTCATTTAGAGCTCTTTTAACAACACTGACATAGCACAAAACATATGCCTATTGTTCAGAGGTGAAGGCCAAACCTTGGCAATCAGAGCATGAAAGTGAAGAAGGGGAACGTTGTGGACACAGTCTGGCTGCAGTTCCCTTCCCAAGGTGTTTTCAGATATGTTTGTGTCTCTAACCTTCTGGCTGACATCGAAAAGGTGTTAATGTCCTCTGTGTACCAGTCAGTTTTAAAACAAAAGAGATAAGATGTGATTCTTTTCTCCTGCTGTCCCAGCCCTATTCCAACATCATGCAGCCCTCAGATCACATTGTTAGTAAACTACCACTGGTTTGAGTAGCACCACATGTGCTGCAAGTGGTGTGTGGTTTGGGCAGCAGGGGAAAAAAGAGAATGGGTTAAAGTGGTGCAGAAAGCAGTGTACAAGTCCATACTGCCTTCCAGGCACCATGGATCTGCTAATTATTAGCATTCTCCAGGAATTTTGCTCTTCAGAAACAAAAGCTAGGCTTATGTTCCTCACACAGTGCAAGCCCTCAGCACTCAAAAGGGGAAGAACATGACAGGGTAGTGGCAATTGCTTGTTCTACATAAATATGTGTTTAGGAGATAGGAGCTTAGTGCCAGACTATTGGGGTATATATTCCTCTGTATGTGTATGTGTACATGTACACACAGTTTCCTTTTTGACAGCAAGGTAAGAGCACACTTAGCTGGAATGAACACATCCCACAGTGGAGAATCCACAGCTGGTAAGAGAAATGGCTGAGCAATATATTTACTTCTCAGTGTAGTTACCTTCCTTCTTTCTCCTGCAGAGGCTTCAGTGCCAAGCAGTGCTGTGTTGCTAAGGAGATAAAGCAAGAGAAAGGAAGGAATCATGTTTGGGAGTAGGGAATTTACATATCATGCATCACTGTATGACTTTCAGAATTAGGGTATCTTACTCTAGTATAAACCGTCCTTGCTGGAAGAGCTGGACCGGGAGAGGGATGACAGTGAAAATTGTGATGGGTCCATGTACCACAGTCTGGAATTGGAAGAGGTGTAGAGCCAGAGGGGTGGAGCAGGTTCGTCTGTCTCATGGTCAGGGCTGGAGACCAGCAAGCTGGTGTTCCCTAGTTTGTGAAGAAAGAAGTTTCCCTTGACACCTGTGGAGCCTCTTCCACTTCTGCCTCTGGTCCCAGAAGTTAAAAAAATGTGTCCACTTACGAGTAGCTTTTTTTGTTACTGTGATTTAGGGACTGTTTTACTGCTGAAAATAAATACCCACATCCACCAGCCTTACCAAGAGCTAGAATTAACGAAATTAATCAGCAGGAGAATGTGGAGAATTAGTATTGTACCATTTTATTAGCTATAAACTAGCAAATATGGAACTATTTTATTAGCTATAAGCATATTCTAGGGCTGAAAAATATACTAGGTGCTAATACTGTGGTTACTGATGTAAAACAGTCTTGCTGTGCTGTGACTCAGCATTCTTTTTTCCTGAGTTGCATCTATGACAGAGACAATCAGGGAGGAAAAGCCATGCTTGGGTGGTGGTCTTATGACTAGTCCTAGACTGAAGTGCCAGCTGGTGCATGTCTTTTTGGCAGCCGCTCAAGCTGTTGTTTTGTTTTGCCAGCCCTTGTAGCCAGAGCATGCTGCTTTCTCAGTTTAGACTGACGAGAGGGATGTTGGTCCAAGGGTGTATTTTGGCACCCTAGGGCTAGAAAATTCTAGCTGTGCTGAGCCTGCTGTGTTGAAAGCCAAGTGTCCATTGTCAGATTCACATCCGTCTTGCTGTGCTTCATGCAGGAGCTTGCAGGAATGCAGCCTCCATCCCATTTTGAAGGCTTTCTTTTTAACTTTCACCACTCAGAAGGTATTAACCCCCTTGTAAGCCACTACACATCAGTAGAGAAGAGCTGACTTGAGCAGAGCTATGCTCATCCGCTGAAGATGAATATCTGGCTTTTATTGCAAAAGTTGCCTTCTCATGAGGTTTCTTTGTCTTAAAAATGTACCTCTTGATCACTCATCTCTGCATGTAGATGCAGATAGATTGCCCAGCAGGGCAGAAAAGATCCCCTAACTATTTAAAATCTCTTCATTATTTTAGTGCTGCTCTTTCTCAGCATTTCTCTGCTTAGGGTGTTTATCCTCTTGGTGTTTGCCTTTAGATTTGAGTGTTCTTTTTTATCTTTGGTATTTGGCTTTTTTTACTGAGTAGTTAAATCCATTCTTCTACCTTCTTCTTGAAAAATGTGGAATACTCAACTAAAAACTGCTTTTTTGAAAGTACATTTAGTGCCCATATATGAGCTGTCCACGTTCTCACAATAAGCCATCTGGGTCTTCTTCAGGCCAGTGTCAGTGGCTCTTTTATACTCTATGGGGCAGTAAGTGAAAAGACATTCAAGGTAAGTCAGTTCTGGAAAGAGTTTTTCTTGGTGCCCTCAGAGCCTACAAAACCAGTTTACTCAAAAGCCAAAGATACGTGGGTTTTTGTGTGATACTTAGAATAGATGTTTTTTGCTATTAGTAAGAATAAATAAGCCAGTGTCTTGTGGCTTAGGGTGGAAAGAAGGCAAACCAGGATTTGCAAGGAACTTGTGAATCTTCCACTTTTCAGTGCTCAACTTGAAGTATATCTAGTACAAGTTTAATTTCTGAGAGGGTTTTGAGTCCTGCTGCTCTGACAGGCAGGCTCCAGGTTAGGGGTTTGGGGTAGGCAGCCAGAACTACTCCCCACTTATCCTGTGGTTTGCTCTTTGGTGCTGTACATATCTGTAATGACACTGTGATGGTGGTTGTGACACGAGTTGGTGCTTTCAATCCCTTTCTAATGGGTATAAAAGTTGAAAAAATATTCTTGCTTACCAGCAGTCTTGATAAAATAGAGTATATATTGAATGTCAGGGAAGAAGAGCACTTGTCTTCCTGAGAACATATTCCCCTGATCACTGTGACAATATCTTGGTGGTGTGCCTGGATATGGGCTGCTGCTGTTCCTGCTGCTGTGAGTGCCCTGCAGCATGTCTGTTACAAGGCAGCTGGTTTAGAATAGTAATTCCTGGTTAACTCTTTCTGGGGTTGGTCCTCTCCAGGAGGAAGTGTGGTTTTTATTATCTCAACCACTTCCCAAGTGGATTAAGTAATTTCAGAAGAAGGCAATTGTAAGCCTTTAGAGAGGGAGTTAATCGAGAACACAGGCTTTGTTTCAGATACATGCCATACCTTATTCTCAGTTAACTGCATCTTTAGACCAGCCCTAAATCTCAACTAGTTCTCTAGGGTTGCTGCTGTAAGTCTGTCTTATCAGCATCCACCTACATGTTCAGAGTGTCAAAACATTACACTTTCATATGAGATGGAGAAAAATAGCTTTGTGGATAAAGAACAGAAGTTGAAAGGTGAACTCCTGGATTTTGTTTTGTTTCGTTTTGCCAGACTTCTTGTGTGATTTACAATTTCCTTGCCTTCTCTGTCTTTCAATTTTCACTCTTACAAAATAGGTGTAATACCTTATCTTCTCCCAACATCCTTCAAGGAGATGGCATTCATCAACATCCACATATTGCCACCCAGATTCCCAGCAGAGAGAGTGTATAGCCTGTCGGATTATCACCCTCCAAACTCTGAACCAGCTTTCCTTTCAGTTTGGAGTTAGAAATGAGAATTCAGCTTTCAAATCTGGCGTCATGCTTCAATGCTTGTTGTAGGTGCTGGGCAGTTGAGAAAGCTGGTGTTTTTATTTTAAACTGGTCTTGGTGAGTGAAAGCTGTGAACAAAACTGACTTGGTTTATTTCTTTGGTTTTTATATGCATACACATGCTAATATTAAACATTTGATTTTGTACTACAGGTGAGCACTCTTCCCTGATATATGACTCGGTGAAAGTAGAGAGAGGGAGAGGAAAAGAGAAAGAAGTCTATTTAGCTATCAAAGAGCCAGGATAGTTGGCCATTTGTAGTCACAGAGGTCAATCACACAGGGTTTGATGGTGATCCATGGATAATCTGAAGAGTGCCTCTAAACTTGGATATATATTTCCTCCTGTACATAATGAAGAAGGAACAGGAGCCCTGTTTTCCCAAATCCTGTATTTATGTAATTTCCCACTTGCTTTATTTTGCAGGTGTTTTTCCAGGTCTGATCACCTTGCCCTCCACATGAAAAGACACATCTAAATACCAGTCAGCTTGGCACAGATGTCATCTGAGCTCAGTGTTGTGAGATGAAAGTGGGACTCAAGTTTCAACGCGCTACCTTGCAGGAGACGAGAACTTGATCACGTGTAATCCTCTGTACAGAGACCACACACTCACACTGTCATGCACGCGATTATACTTCAATACGTACATCAGTTCTTCATGCCTTGCCCCAGCTGGATGGGTGAAGATGCAGGCGAGGAAATGGTATAGAGGTGAAGTCAATGAGGAGAAATATTTGCTTACAGTGCTTCGTCCCTTGGATTTGTTTCCTGGCTTTGCCAATGGAAATCAAAGAACACAGAGGAGACTTCCCTGCAGGTGGACGGCAGTAGGAGGGGCTTATTTAACTTGCTTCTCAATGCAACTCAATAGGAGAATATGTCGTCTTGAAGTTGCATATTTGTAGCACTAACTTTCTTTTTAAATAGATGGGGGGAAACAATGACCTAGAAAACCAAATCCCAGTTTGGTAGCCAAAATTAACCTCTTGGTTCATTTGTTCTTTGTCTGAGAATTCCTAATGTTCAATGCGTCAGACTTCTCACAGACACTTTGACCTGTCATGGTTTTGGTTCTTCTTCCTAGAACTGAGCTATTGAGATCCTTTTAAGTCAATACCAGTGGCCTTAATGGCAGTAGACTGTGGAGTGACACTTGTGACACAAATATCCTCTTTTTTGGCCTGAGTTTATGTAGACTTCATGGAGGACTATATTTTTGTTGGTTGTTTTTGGTTTAATTTTTGTTTTGGCTATTGCACAACATATGCACTAGGGACTCTGGAAGCTGCTGCCATGATGGCTAAGTGGCCAAGGGATAAACCCCAGAGAAACAGCACCTAATGTCTCTGTAGGCCTCACCTTATTGCCATAGCTAGGACTTCTTGTTTCTTTGTTGAACAAAAAACTTTAAAAGCTTATTTGGAAGCTTAAACATATTTTCTCTTTTCTTCACAAACAAGTGATCTTCAGAACTCCTTGTCTCCACCTGGATATCCGTCTGGGACTGGCCACACAGGCATGACTACAGGATTCCTTCCACATCATGTGAGCATGTTAGCCACAACCCACAGTGACTTAGCAATGAATTATGTTGCTTTTTCTTGCTGTTCTTCTATTAACCAATCTAAAACATTGGACTTTCGTTTGTGTAAAGAGTACCTGCCGACATTTTAATTTAAAGCTAATGTTCGTTGAGCATCTTACACACAAAAAAAAACAAGCCAAAAACCCTACTCCAGTCATTGAGTGGGAAATCGAGAACCTCTTCCAAGTACAATGGCTTCATTCATCATTAGCCTTTTAAAGAAATTAACAAAGTCCTCCTTTTCCATTCATCAAGTTGATGCTGTAGTCCACTCCTATATGAGAAAGTGTAATAGCGTGAATGGTGAAGGAAGGGTTGGATTTTACACACAGCAGTGAGGCTTTCCAAATGATTGGTCTAAAGTATTACTAACTTAGAGGTCCGTTTTGGCCTACTATGTGAACCATCAAGAAGTGGAGGTCTCATGCTTGCCCTTCAGTCCTATTGCTAATTTGATTTTGTTGGCTCAAAGAGGATTGAAGTCTTCATTGCAAAAGAAAAACAAAAAATGTATCTCACCATAACTTGCATTTCAAACTATTTGGCACTGGCCCTGACTCCAAAGACTGCATTTAGGACCATAAAAATGGCCTATGCAAGCAGGCAGGTGGTCATTTGGTTGTATATTTTGTATATTCTGGGACCCATCCCTACAAGATGTGTCTAGAAGTGAAACAAAATGGCGCGTGGTCCAAAAATGGTTGCTGCTCTTTTATGCTGTATTAGCCAACTGCCCTTCTTTGACTGTTTTGACGCATTGACTGTTAAATATTTCCCTTAATTTATGTTTGGGGAGGTAAAACTGTACTCTTAGGGGGGAAAAAAGAAGAAACAGGAAAATCAATAGATGATTAAGAGCTGTCACCAGGATCCTTGGCACTTGAATTCTCAGTGTTTTCATAGAATCATAGAATGGTTTGGGTTGGAAGGGACCTTAAAGATCATCTACTTCCAACCATCCTGCCATGGGCAGGGACACCTCCACAAGACCAAAGCCCCACCTAACCTGGCCTTGAACACTTCCAGGGATGGGGCATCCACAACTTCTAGGGGCAACCTGTTCCAGTGTCTTACCACCCTCACAGTGCAATCTCACGCTTTGCAACCTTCGGTTCCAGTGAGAGATTGAATTTACTTGAAAGATGCTGGTTTTCTTCACAGTTTTCACAAAACACTGTGACTGTCAATTGAACGCTTTGGGGACAGGGGGGAAATACGATGTCTGGCCCATATGGCAAGAAATATGGACCAAAATCTAACCATCTTTTGGGGACAATGATGTAACATTCATGATAAGAGCATGAGAGAGGGAGAGAGTGAAAAATAGAAAAGAAAGGAAGACAGAGAGAAAGAGAGAACAAAAATTGAGTTTATTCCAAAGATTTTAAACTAACTATACTCTATATGTGTATATATATATGCTTATATATATATGTATACATCTAAAAATTGCAGAGCACTGCTTGCTGACAATCTCGTATTTCTCTGTATTTGCATAGTTTTTAATGGCCATTCCACCCAGCTGTTCCACTGGGACTGAGGGCCCTACAATCCAATTTGTGTTGGAATATATAGAACATCCTGCCAGATGTCTAATGGGAACTGAAACCTCAGCTGTGTGAAACTGTAGAGCATCCAGTCAGTGTATTAGATTAAAAAAAGGATAAGAGAATCCTACAATTTCATTACTGTAGTGTCCTGAAGTGTGTGCTCTCAAACTCACCACTATGATAATCACTGGCTGTCAACCTGTATAAATATCCTCCTTTGACCTCTGAACACACCTGCCTTTAGACACGCTGTCAGTAGTCTACAAACCTTAATTAATAAGTGACAGTTTAAGTACCAGGCTCTATTTAAAACTAAAAAAATGAAGCAAGACTCTTTATTTACTTCCAGTTGTCATTTATGGTCTTCTTGACATCTTATTTAAATATGGCAGAACAAGGGCCCATGGAAAAAAGCATGCTAAAATGTCTGATTATTTTGTTCTAGAGGCAGACCTACATCTAAATCTTGGATCCAAATAGCCTAAAAGCATAGCTAAAAGGGGAATAAGAGACTTAACCACATTTCAGACTTTTCGGGCTCTCTCTGTAGTAGGTCTTAAATCTGATGCCAAATTTTGAGCTTGAGGAACATCTCTTCTGCTTCTAAAGGGAGATATTTTTCATTTGTATACATGGTGTACTCAGCCACTCTCTAGACTTCAGTTTTTGGAAACAAGTGTCTTACTCATTAGTAAGGTTTTGAACTATACCTGGTATTTTGTAGGAGTCTCCATTTTGGAAAGGCATAATTAGGATTCAACATCCCAGGATTCATTTTTTACAGTGACAAGATTTGTTTCTTCACAGATATTTTAAGATGTGCGCTTCAAACTTTGTCATCTGTTATGGCTAGATTCTTTTGAGCCTGTGTCTCCTTGCTAAAGTTGTCCTCTCTTCGTAAACTATGAGTAGAAACAGACTAATGAGGAAAGACTAATCCTCTCTAAGGCTTTTTGGAAGCAAACCCAGCAGCAGATGATTTGGTGACAGTTGAGGACTGAGTTATCCAGCTATAGAAAGGAGAAGCTTTACCTTGTTTTTTTCATGCTAGATTTATGCCTGTTTGCAAAAGAGAAGCCATTATAAGAAAGTCAGATTGTGATTTACAAGGCCATGGAACTTCAGGGTGAGAACAAATTGAGACAAAAGTCTCTGAAAATAGTGTACATAGAGGAAGCAACTAAACAAATTTTGTTAGGAGATAAATAATATTTTGGAGCAGAGCAGTCAATGATAGAATCATGCAGATGGGAAGGGGCCTCCAGAAACTGTCTTGGCCAACCTCCAACTAGAGCTGGTTGCTCAGGGCCATATCCAGCTGAGTTTTAAATATCCCCAAGGATGGACATTCTACAGCCTTTTTCTACAAGCTCGTCCAATATTTGATTACCATCATGGTAAAATTAAAAAAAAATCTAAAGTCCATGTTTCAGGTAGGAATTTTTCATGTTCCAACTTGTTTTCATTGCCTCATTCACTGTGCACCTTCAAGAAGAGTCTGGCTTCTTCTCTGCACTCTCTGTTATGTACCTGTAGGCAGCAATAAGATCTACCCTCACGTTCCTCTTCATGAGGTTGAACCATGTCTTTCAGCCTCTCTTCATCCATCATGTGTTCCAGAACACGATCTCCATGGTAGCTGTCTGCTCAACTTTCTCCAATATGTCAGTAATTTTCTTCTAATGGAGAGACCAAAACCAGACAGAATATTCCAGATCAAGATGTGCTTCATGTGTTCCAATATTGATATAATTTATTTTGGATTCTTCAGTTACCTAATTGAGACAAGTTATACTCTATGATAAGATTCTATTTTTAAACGGACTTATGAAAAACTTTAATCAGGAAGCATCAGTATAAAGATTTTTCTAATCAGATTTTTTGAATCTGCGTATAAAAATATGCTTGTAGAAATACACTTTCTATGCTGCCAGCTTGAGGCTTGGCAGGCAAAATTATGTTTTTCCAATATAATCATTGCTGGTTTACCTTAAATTAAAAAAATTGTATTGTTTCACTCATGCTATGTCAAATACAAACACAAATGATGCTGTATTTTAGTCACTTTTTAGACCAAAACACCACTTCAGTGCATCTTTGTTCTGTTTCTTTTTCCTCTTAGGAGATAAAGAGCAATCTAAACTATGACATGTATTTTATAAAGATTAGTCTAACAGAAAAGGGCATTCCAGAGTCCGGAGTATTTTTCATTATCCCAGACTTGTTCTTTTTCAGAACAGTAGCCAGGACTCAGTCTAGAAAACTGTATTAGCTAGATAAATTGGCAAAAGAGGAAGGATGAATTGAAATCCTAGATTCTTTCAGTGTTCTGGACAATGCTCCGAGCAGTCTGATCTAACTAAACTGTTTTTATACAGAGGGTTGAATTAGGTGACCTCCAGAGGTACCTTCCAACATTAATTTTTCTGTGTTTCTGTGGTTCATTTCAGTGTTCTGAGTGATGAATGTGTACTGGTTCTAGTTTTTCCCAGTGGTGGATCAGAGTGCTGGTGGATCAGACTGTAGGATAGATCTTTAGGGTTTCTCACAAACTCTCATTCTCATTAAACTTTATAAGGCTTCTTCATGAGGAAGACTTAGAGAGGAGGAAATCTTTAAAGAAAACCCAAACCCCTTAGCAAACCAGTTTGAAGCAATATTATACCATGAGATGTGTCACAGCTGCAGGGACCAACCAGATAGTATGGAAACAAGATTGCTAGAGTACAAACCTATGTGATGTCTCAAAGATGGTTTCCAGGACCTGAAATCTAAGCCAATATATATTTCTACAAAGGTTAACTTTTTATTATTATTATTATTATTAATTCTTATTTTCCTCAGACTTTTTGGAATTGGGTTTACTGGTATGTTGTGTTTTTTTTAGGCTAGCACATTTTCCCTTAATATGTGGAAATAACTGACCAAACACAGATGGGGAAGAAGAACCTGAACCCAAGAGGAGCCCCCAGGTCCTTGCTTCTGGAACTGTTTTAACTTCAGGAGTAAAAAGATAATTACTCACCAGGGTGTATGGCTAAAATGGAGTTGATCCATATGATAGTTACGGTGATGGAGTGTATCTGATCTGTGACCTTCCTGATATTTACAGGATCAGGCTTTTTCCCTTGTTTTTACCTGGCCCTAGGCAACTTGGGCTTCTTAGCTGTCTCTAACACAGGTAGTGTATTTATCTGCATACAAAAGAGGTCATAATTGGTGCTTTTGACAAAACTGATGAAGATCCTACTTGCTTAAGTGTTTCCTTTTCTCTGCCTGTTCCCTTAATGTATGTCAAAATTAAAAAAAAAAAAAAGAAAAAAAAAAGAGGAAGATTTTGTAAATAATTTAATGTTACTAGGCCAGCACCCAGTGGATCAAGGGCTTTTATTCTTGATTTCATTCAGGACTTGGCACATCCTATCATTCCATCCAGTAAGACTGTTTTTAAGCTTTCATATCTTGGGTGACACCTCTAACCCAACGCTCTTTGAAAGTACTTTTTGCTGGTTTCAGATAGAACTTCACTTGCAAAGATCCCCATATACAAGGAATAAAAAACAATGTGTGATAATAGCTCTATTTAACTCTGTATTGCAAAATTTTAGTTATTTCCTCACAAGATACTTCAGCTACTCATTGACAAGTCTTGCCTGTCTCTCACTAGCATTAAATCTACGCCTTCTTGAATGATGATTTCCAGACCAAGCTTGGATGTTCTTCCTTTTGTCACTTTTGTGTCTCTTTTCATTAGTAGTTTAGGGATGACTACTGCAGTCTTTCCCCTCCTCAGCTCTACATTGGCTTCAGTGGCAAGAATTAGCACTGTAAGATCTGTAGGACCTGGCACACCAGGTACTAAGATCTGTCTCGTAAAGCTGAGACTTTCCTCCTCCCTTAGAGGAAAAAGTCCAAAACATACTCGTCTATATAAGTTATATATATAATGATATATATATGAATTATATACATAAAAATGTGGAGATGGGAGGTAGGCTGCTTTTATCACCTCAAGAATGGATTTCCCTACCTGAAAACTTTCAAATGCAGGCGTCGTTTTTCAAACAGGGTTTTATAGTTTTCCTTAATGCTTGTTTATGGCATTTTTGGTGTAATAATTGAAGTTGGAACTCTTTGCGATTTTCAAAATGAAAGCTTTGATGATTTTTTTAAAGTGCTTTGATCCTAACTTCTGTATACTGCCAGAAAACAGGTTCTCCACCCTGTCTCTGTGTGGGTGTGGATGTACAACAGTGTACTATATATACCTACACAGAAGAGGAAACTGAGCTACTGACTTACAGTTTGTAGTAGCCAACCGTGCCTATTGCTTTGGTTTGGGAGGGCACTTGCTGTTGCCACTGCATTTTAGGACTCATGTCGGCTTCTCTAGGAAAAGTTTTTAACAGTGCTGGGAGATACATGTTGCTGTGTACTGCAAATGAATAGGCTGCAAATTTGGGGTTGGGAGGGGAGGTGGAAAGGGAGGAGGATGAGGGCTTAGCATAGCATGTACACACTAAAAGTGAACTAGAATGGACAGAAAGGTAACAAGTTTAGCCTTTTTTGTTAGGCTCTCGGGGAAATGAAAAGCTATCACACAGTTCCTGGAAGGCCTGATGGTCGAAGGGCTGATCCTGGTATTTTGCAACATACATTTTACCCATCGCTCTGTATTTTAAACCCCAGGCCTGTCAGATTCTGGAAGTAGATCAAAACACTGGTTTAAACACTACTTTGTTCCCATGGCCATGTCTCTACCAGGGAAGTTGCCCTAAGTTAAATTACCAGTCAAGTTAAAACAACTTTGTAGCTGCACTTATTACTTGATTGCCTGGATTGACTTTGCATTGGCATCCTATGCAGTTAAGCTGAAGTGTAAGAAATCCTTCAACCCGTTAAGATACCTCTACAGGAAGGTTCTTGCACCAATTCAAGTACCTAAACCACAGTGCAGCTTTTCTCTTAGAAACAAGGCCTTAGTTTAGCATGGCTACTCATCTAGTTGAAAAATAATAATGCAGGCTGAGGTTTTCTTTCCTTGCTTTGCCAAGTGGCCTGTTTTCTTTCTTGTCCTTTGGAACCTTTCTTGCTCTGTACTTACTATATGTTATATTATTGTTTGGGGGATTTATTTCTTTTTGTTTAGCAACAACACAACAAAGTATGAATGCTCCCTATTTAAAAAAAAAAAGAAAAAAGAAAACAACATTGCTTGAAGGACTTTCGTTTTGCACTATAATTTTTCTTTTAGCAGATGTGTCTGACAAGTGCATTTTGGAGATGCCCTCGGTCACGTTCTCTCAGGCCTACTCTGGTATTTCTAATATATCACAGAAGTACCCAATCTTGTAGCCCTCAGTTCTGCCTTTTTTTGACATTTTATTTTTTTTAAGCTTTTTATATATATATATATAAATATATTACTTTGTCAGTTTTTTTGCTGTACAAAAAGTCTTAAGATTTAAAAATATTATTTGTATTATATGATGGTGGTATGTTAATGTTACAAAATTATTAATGAAGAAAAAATTTATTTTTGTTACTGGTCTGTTTCATAATTCTTTTTTAAATTGGTATATTGTAAGATATCTATGCAAAAATGTTATGTGACGCATTTTTATTTAAGAATGTAATATGTGTAATAAACAGTAGAATGTGTTTGGCCCGACAGTGTTTAGTGTGCCTTGTATATTATTTCTTCATGGAAACTTCTGTGAGCAGGCGTTTGAATACTGGTTAAGGCTATGGTTCTGTAAGCAGTTACTGACATCAGTTCTGAGTATGCTTAACTTATCAGAATGACATTTTTTGATATAAATAATTTCCTGGGTTTAATGTGTTTTATAACAGCTCGAGTGTTGCTTATATTCATGCTATATCACATGTTGCTTTCGGAAAAGATGGTCAAGAAGGCTGTTCCTACTCTTAAAAGCTGACTACATTTGGCTTGTAATGGTGCTTCTGTTGGAGTTGGTGACTTCTGTTACTCGACAGTTTACACTGGTTGAAGATTTCCACCACTGTTACTTTTGCAGAAGACCCAGAGAACACTTGCACTGCGTTTTTCCATGCCTAGCTATAAAATACTGGTCAGTCAGTGGTCAAAACAGGACTAGACTCTCAGGCGCCTGAGCACTAGTGCTATGCTCTAGTCCATGTATCAGGCTGTCTCACAGGAGTGCAGTATTGCTCTCTTTCCCCCGCCTCTGTCATTTAGTCTCCCACTTTAATGCCTGAAAAATTGCAAGCACAATTGAATCCACAGGGATGCTCAAGTACTAAAAATGTATTTAGGCAGTAAAAACAGTAATTCTGGGCACAATTACTTTGCAGTGTCATGGCATAAAAGGAAATTACTTTTTAAAGTCAGGCTGGTATCCCTTTAGGTTTTTACTGTCTTGTGCTCACACACTGCACAATCTCAATAAGCTTTGCATATGAACATCCTATAGAGCTCATTGATGCCTACTTGCTAGGTTTTATTTCTGAGACAGCATGCCTCACTTGCCCTGTTGGAAGATGTGCTAGGGCTGTTTATGTGAGACAGGTGGAGGGTAGGATTCCCCTCCTGACATCTAGCTCTAGAAACCAAGTGACCACTCTAACCTCCTCATTTATACTCCCTCAGTAGCTAATGAAGAGACACATCCAGAGGTGAGTCACTCCAGGGGAGGGTTGAATGTAAAAGGAGCCGAGGTGATGTCAAGGTTTTCTGGAAAGCCATGTGGTAAGTTGGAAGACAAAAGATCCAGTGATACCCCTGGTGGCTCTGGTCACTCAGATTGTACCAGATGTTTCATGATGGACATAATAGTGTCTGGCACTGGAAAAGAGCTCAGCACAGGTCAACTTTTTGGCTTGTGTTCCAGATGGCCAAAACTGCACAGTGCTCTGTCTGCTTCAGTGGGGCAGTGACATCTTGGAAATCTTGGTGTCACAGAGTGTACGTAAGTGAGGCAGGCAGTTGTCAAGGAGTTTTTGGCATCCTACCATGAATTTAAAAGGCCAAAAAAAAGATTGTCCTTCTTGTAGCTTGAGATATTTGTATGATGTAGGTATGACACAGATTTTTTTCTGCAAACAGAATTTTGACTTTACAGCTTTCTTCCTCTAAAGACAAAGTCCAAGTTCCTTTACTTCCTCTCTTCCTAAGAAAAACCTGGAAGCTTTTAGCATCTCACCTACTTCGAGCATGCTGACATTTATATGTCTGTATGTCTAGACAAAGATACCTCTGATCTTTACCTGTTCCATGGGCAGGGTCACCTTCCACTAGACATGGGACACCTTCCAAGCCCTGTCCAGCCTGGCCTTGAGCACTGCCAGGGCAACCTGTTCCAGTGCCTCAGACCCTCACAGTGAAGAACATTTTCCTAATATCTAATCTAAATCTCCCCCCCGTCATCTATATGTTCCCCCTTGCCCTGTCACTACATGCTCTTGTAAAAAGTCCCTCTCCAGATTTCCTGTAGGCATCTTCTAGGTACTAGAAGGCTGCTATAAGGTCTCCCTGAGATGGAGGCCAGAGGAAAAAGATGCTGTGAAAGAACTTCCCCTTAAAATGAATGTCCAGTAATGCACAGTCACACACCTTGAGCAACTCCTGCTGTCAGGGTGTGGACTTCTCCAAGGAAAGAAAAGAAAACCGGTTTCAGGTTCATTGTCTGCTTGTGTTCTGGCTGGTTGATGTTCGATGATGGAGAGGCAATAAAACTGAGCAAAATGAAGATGCGCTATACCCAATTAGTCTTGAGTTTAAAATCCCTCAGGGCTTTGGAGGCTCTTCCAAACTCCCTCAGATTTACCTCTATCTGCTGGATTTCTGCTGGGCTTTTTGGGAGTGCAGACTGAACAAAAGCATCCCAAGCAGGTGGAACCTCAAATTTAACTTGCGCTTCCCAAATAACATGGAGTGTGGGGACCAGAAACCAGGGTCCCAGTCCAGGGAAGCACCTTCTGGTCTGAGGCTCCTATCTAATATTTCTGATTTACTGAGGGAATCGAAAGGCACATTTCGGCTCAGGACCCAGCCTAGCTGGTGTTAGCAAACCTAGGGCCAGTATTAATCCCATAAGTAAAGAGAAGTATGGTTAAGTGATACAATTTAAAAGTTATTTTTTGATTTTCAGGAGGGATCTTTGGGAAACAGGAGCTTTCCTGACCTTCAGCAAAAGCCTCTTACCCTTTTGAGAGAAAGATACAAAATAAACGCAAATTCCTAAAATTCAGTGATGAGAACCTTGCCTTTCTGAGGTGAATATTTTGGTCCCTGAAACATACATTTCTTTCCACCTCTTTCCTGAAGTACAGTGGCTAGCTGATGA